GCACACGATGCTTGTTTTCCTGCTGGATTCCTAGCTAGATTAGAATCTTACCATCGTATTGGCCGCGGTATTGATAGTGTCAGCATCGTAGCCAATACGGTGGCAAGAATTTATTTAGCTAGCAATCCAGCAAGAAAACAAGCATCGTGTGCCGCCGGCTTAATGTCCGTGTCACACTACGCATTGGAGATTGAGGATTGCGAATTAAGGATTAGAATTCGACCAATCAGGTAATTTTAAGTTTAATCCGTTTCGTTCTAATTGGCTGAATTCTAATCCTCCATTCGCAATCCTCAGTTTCCAATGCGTAGTGTGACACGGGAATAATCCCGGATCTACAATAAGTATTTTAAGCCTTAAGTTGTAAAAAATTGACCAATTACAGTCAAATTCGAGGAGAATAATCAACTATGATTTGTCCATTTCTTATGGCTTAAGACTTAAAACTCTATTGTAGATCCGGACTAAAGACCATCGCACGTACAAAAATTTTAGTCGTAATTGTAATGCGAGGTCTACAATGGAAGTCGTAGCAGTCGTAGGGTTTTAAGTCGTAGAAAATTGACCAATCACAGTCGAATATGAGAAGAATAATCAACTATGATTGATCAATTTTCTACGACTTAAGACCCTACGACCGTTACGACTTCTATTGTAGACCCCGCATTAGAAATAATCAGTAAGCGAATTGGCCAATCACAGTAGAGACCGTAAGGCCAGTAGCGAATCCAATGTCTATATTTACGATTTCCTTACTGCTTTACGTCTTACGGCCTTACGTTTTTGTATGTGCCATGGGCTTAATCCGCACCGGATGTCTGCAAAAGTTATTAGGTATTGCGTCCGTAACGTTACGTGTGTTTCACCTCCTTGGATGGAATCCATATGCTGGATTCACACTGCATCCGATTTTCGTCGTACGACACTCTGCAACCAATCAGAAAACAGGATTCCAATGAATTTTGCTTCGTATTATCGGAATCCTGTTTTCTGATTGGATGTGGATGCAGTGCGTCGTACGACGAAAATCGGATGCAGTGTGAATCTAGCAATAGTCCGGTCTTAATCTCAAGCAATGTCTTAAGATGCTAATACGGCTCTGATTGGTTCATGCACTAGCTTAAGACCATCTCGAATCTTGAGCAACGTTTGTGGATTCCGTCCCTTGTGTCCCATAGAGCCGTAAGTCCGGATCTACAATAGATGTTTTAAGACTTAAGCCATAAGAAATTGACCAATTACAGTCGAATCCGAGGAGAATAATCGACTATGATTCGCCCATTTCTTATGACTTAAGGCTTAAAACTCTATTGTAGATCCGGGATAATCCCATGAGGACCACAACGGTTGCGACACGCTTGCGACGCTGCGATGCGACTAATGTAGAACCACAGTATATACAATAACGCAACTCTCTGTCGGCACCTTTGATGTCAGCGTAGATAAAAATGAACTGCACATGCGCGAGCGAGGTATGTAACCAATCAAGGCATTGATATTCCATCCCACCTTTTCTCTCTGTGTAGTAACCTTTTCTTTTTTTCTACTTTATTGCATAAGGTCTGTTCTTTTTCCACTGTAAGTTCTGAACTGGTGTACACTGATGCAATAAGTTCAGAACCTTCGAAAAATAACAGATCTACACAATATACATTATATTTAAAACAGAAAATAAAATAGAAATGAAACATGATAGATATACATTTATTTCTCAGAAAATATAAGGAGATTCGTACTTATACTTAACCTTTTTTTATTTGCAATGATAGTCAGAGTTACAAAATATAAACGCAATAAGAGAACTAATAATAATATAGCAATCCGTTTTATAAAATCCAGTTATTCGACTAATTCAATTTACTATATCTCAAATCACAACGATATTAAACCTGTTACATGTTATTTTAAAAAATGAATAAAAAATGACTGCGTTCAGCGTTTATTTCGCAAATGTTGGAAGTTTTCTTTGCGCTGATTGTATTATACTTTTAGATCTAGAGGATTGGTGGATTCTATCTTAGCACACAATCATAAAAATGGTTTCAAAACTGTTGTATTCCTCTGAAACGTACCTATTACGTTAACTAATTGATAATGGCTGCATTCAACAGAGAAAACTAATCAGTTATAATTAATCAAAACTGTCACTTTCCGTTAAATGGCTATTTAAATCCCTTATATGGACATTTCAACGGTGCAGGACAGACAGCGACAATAAAGAGAAGAAGCGAGATGGAATATAAGTGCCCTGATTGGTTACATACCTCGCTCGCGCATGTGCAGTTCATTTTTATCCACGGTGAAATCTAATCGTGAGAGTTGCGCTACTGTATATACTGTGGTAGACCAGCTTGATGGCCCTTAGCGCTAGCTCATGATCGTGTTTGTTAGCGCTATCTGCAGCTCCACGAACAGTTTGTAGCGCTAAATAGCACGAATAGCGTCTTTCTGAACGCACCCATTTTGTTGTAGACGACGCATAACCCGCATAACAGAGTCGAGATGTTGGAAGCTTACGATGCCAACTATGACAAAGTATGATACATAAATAATATTTGTAAAAATATTACATTATATATTTTTCTTAAGGCATTTAATTGTGATTCTCTTATAGTGATCTATTCCAACGTTTTTACACTATTCGCATATGCATGTAGCTTTAATGGATATCATAATTAAGTCTTATAAAATTTTAATTCTAAAATTTATATGCAGTCAATTTAGTGAATATTAATAATATCGAATATATTATTTTTACGCGCGCAGGAACATCCACGAAATCTTATTCCAGAACTGTGCCGGCAGTTTTATCATCTCGGATGGGTGACTGGTACTGGTGGCGGTATCTCCATAAAACACGAGTTAATTGCGCAATAATATTTCATACAAAACTATTAAATATAGACATTCACTATAAAATTTCTCTCCTACAGAGATAAGATCTACATAGCTCCTTCTGGTGTACAAAAGGAACGTATGGTACCCAACGATATGTTTGTGCAAGATATCAATGGAACAGATTTGGAATTGCCTCCATCAGAGAAGAAACTGAACAAGTCGCAATGCACTCCACTATTTATGTGTGCGTATATAAGAAGGCATGCAGGCGCTGTGATTCACACACACTCCAAGTTTGCTGTGATGGCAACACTATTGTGGCCTGGGAAAGAAATCAGACTCACCCATCTTGAAATGATAAAAGGTATATTCATTTGAATTGTCTTTTCTAATTCATTTACAGTTAATTTGAAATTAATGACGATATAAAATTGTTCGGCTTATATATAGGCATATGGAATCAAAAAGAGGATAGAGCGTATCGTTACGATGAGGAGTTGGCAATACCGATCATAGAAAACACTCCCTTTGAGAGAGATTTAAGAGAAGACTTAGATAAAATTATTATTCGTTACCCTGAGACTTGTGCGGTATTGGTACGCAGGCATGGGATTTATGTGTGGGGTGATTCTTGGCAACAGGCAAAAACTATGTAAGCTATTTCAATATCATGCAATGAAATTTATCAACTTTTTTGTTAAAATGTATTTCTTGTTCTTTGTACAGGACGGAATGTTACGATTATTTACTCGATATTGCAGTTAAAATGAAACAATGTAGATTAGATCCATCAATAACTCCAAATGATTATGAATTAAAATACCAAGCAAATACATTATGATATGCACAGAAATTTATTATGAAATTAATATTTCTGTTAACCATAATTCTATGATGCAACAATATTATGTATCTCTAATTATGTACATCTTTTAATCATTTTAAATGTATATATAAAAATAAAAAAATAAAAAATAAATTATAAAAACTTGATTTATTATGGTTAAAATTATTAATAATTTTAATGACATGTTCCACATATGTGAATATATACACTATGCACACTATTGTACATATATTATGCTTATAAGACATAAATAAATATTTTTTCAAGTATCTACATCGAATGGCGTAAATTGTTTTCTAATTTTCTTTGCTAGTTCAGTCTCTTCCTCTTGGCTCATATGACAATCTTTCCAGTCGGATCTATCGTTGATGTCCAATATCCTGTCAGACGCTAATACTTCTCTGCCGAATTGTAATGGGAAATCTTTCTTGATCCTATAATATAAGATTCTTCCATCTGGTAATTCTACATAAAAATATAGAATACCAGGTTTAGCGACCTGCTGCAAATCTGTATGTGATGGCAACTCGGATATTTTGAAATTGTTACATTCGGCCAGTTCCTGAAAGCACAGAGATTCATACGCATTTGAACTAAAATAAAAGATACGTTCGACACTCTTTAACGTGGAAAAAAAATTGAGGAAAAGTACCTCGAACATTTCCTTCAATGCGGATGCTTGATTTTTATGAACTGGTACCGCTTGCAATTGACAGTGGGAAGTTTTAAAGTTTCTTTCGAAGAATACAGGTACTCTGTCGGTACTCTCGTAGTACTTGCTCACGGCTTTCTTATAGAGATCCATCTCCTCTTTCACGTTTTTCGGTAGAATAGACAGGCTCTGATGATGTGTTATTGGTAGAATTAAGAGATGATCCTCCACTAGACCACCCTTTGCCAGTGCCAAATATGTCTCTGTGCCGACAGAGATTACCAAATGCTTGGAGACTACTGGACTGGATAAACAAAACCAGCACTTTGACTGGTCAATTTCCAGCTTTGCTTTTTTATTGAGGCCAAAGTTCTGATGCCGTGATCTCTTTGCGTCATCTTTCGAGTCCATATCATAGAAAAATTGGATCTGCTTTTGCAAAGTTGGATCGTCAGACAGCATAGATTTGGGATACGGACTCGGCGTCTCGTCTGTTGTTCTCATAATCAGATCTGACAGTCTGGTTCTATCAACAGGAGTTAAATTCAATGCATACAACCATTTCTTCTTCTCGTCATTCAGTACTGGTGCAAGAGCTATGAACCTAGTAGCTATTTCCATATTTCCATCGCCCTGACTTTGATTTCTATAATGGAAAAATATCTTCTTCAAAGTAATTTTGCATTTATTCTGTATTTATTTTCAGAAACTTTCTTGAATAATAAACTTACCGATATGGCGGCCGTTGGTAATAAATCCGTTCCAAGGCCGACACATGATACCTAGGTTTAATATGAGTAACGAGCCAGGCGATTAATTTGGAACCTTGGTACTTGCATTCCAGTTTGTTAGTGTCAAGATTGGTTACACCTTCTGGCCATGGAGATGTCAATAATATGTCAACGCCACGAAAACTCGGTTGACCCTTCAAGCAACTATTCCTGACAGATACAACGTCATGTTCGTCGAAGTGAATGGTTTTGTTTTCGGACGGGACCTTCTCGGTTCCACTGAGATATGCTATTTTGAGGCCCGAACTGGCAATGTACAGACCACGCTTTCCGAGATAAGTGAGATTCTGACATATTTCGTATCCGTCCTCGGGATAGTCCTTAATATCCGATTCCCGGTTAGGACCGATAATGTACGTCGGTACTGAAATGATTTTCTCGCAGGATTTGTACGACTCCAATTCAGAGTTGTCCGCACCGAAGAAATTGCCGACGCATAACAGAAAATCGAACGGACCGTTTTTCTTGTTGATAGCGTTTACTTTGGAGAACAAGAACTTGAAGTGTCCTTCCACATCTCCGCAAATGAGAACTTTCTGCTTGTCACTCATCCTGATAATAAAATTCTAATAGTTTTTGTCAAAAACACAATCAATGAGCATCGATTTCCTCAGATATCTTCATTAAGGTGCAATTTCATTAAATTTCATGCAGCGTCAGCGAAGGAAAGCAGGCTTTTTACAGTTTTTATTACCACTTCGACCACACAACAGGCTGCGGTCCACTTGACGCTACAATATACTACAATACTAGAAACGCTTCGAAGCATTGGCTGCGTTCAGCAGAACGTTTGTTTTGCAACTGTTGGAAATTTCCTTCGCGCTAATTGGATCATACTTTTAGATCTAGAAGAATGGTCCTATCTCAGCAGACAATCATAAAACGGTTGCAAAACTGTTGAGTCTGCTGAACGCAGTCATTCTTTGATTATGCTGGATTCACCCTGCATCCGATTTTCGTCGTACGACG